AGCTATTCAAATCGGAGACAAATGATAAGAATAAGAATCCAAAATACAGCATTAGGCTTTAGTTTTTAAAGTAAATACACCACCGTTTCCCACACAATCTTTCTAAGGCCAAGCTCTAGGATGCCCCACAGCGCGACGGTCCGTAACAGTGGTCCGCTCTATGCCATGAATATAGCCTGGTAACAAGTCCATCGCACCCCAGCCAGCCAGAGACCAGTTTCCACATCTGTGAATTGAGTAACTGACTCATGGGGCCAAAGCACCAGAGCCTTCCAACTCCCAGGCCCCTCACCTCTTCAGACGGCACAGAAAGGCCTGCTGGCAATCTGTTATCCGACTTTTCATTTTCTTGCACACGCAGGGCACAAAATCCTTGGTTTATTTTTATACATTCAAGAAAATACCACAGACTGACTCCACTCTAGAAGAAACCCCGGGTTCTCGGGGCTTCAACTCCCCAAGGAATCCTTCTGTGGGCCCCTCAAGGCAGAGGGAACCCCTCCCTCCTGTAGCCCCCTCTCAGCACATGCATATTTGAATTCTTCATACAAACAAACCAGGCATGACTCTCCGGGTCTCCAGGCACCTCCTCAAGTCACTGGGGCCTCTGGGAAGGCAAGACGCCAAGTATTTCCACCCCAGTATTTTCAGCACCTTGCAACAAAATAAGCTCCCAAGAAACACAGGATGAGCTGAATCCAAAACCATCCAACTCCCACCATCACCAAAGCCAAAATCAGTATAGCCCCAGCCTTCCAGAACAGATGGGTTTCCAACAAGGAAACCAATGGGTGGCTCAAATGCATGGAAAAGTGTGGGTTTGGGAGCGAGGAGGCACAAAAGGTTAACCTGTTAGCTCTGTCACCAACAATCCTGGGGATGTTCCCTCTGACCTGATGATGTTCTGCTTTAATGCAAAACAGTTGAACAAAATGATGTCTAAGGTCATTTGTAGTTCATAGGTAGGAATGAACTAGGCCTGGCAAGGTCCCCGTGGTTCCTTTTGTAATATGTATGCCTTGGAAGTCCCCATTGGTATCACTCAGTGCCATTAGGTGTGTGAAACTTCTGGGTCATCTTTCAAAATCTAATATTAAGAATTGCTAGAAAATGACTCTGCCAAGTAAGTCCGGACTCCCAAAGGTCCGGAGCCACCTGTGTGTGAGAGGAGGGATGCCCTTGGCACAGGGTAGTGGCTGGTCCAGTCTCCCCAGTCAGGGCTGCAATGCCAGGCCAGTTTTGAGGAAGAATTTGTAGCCAAAGTAAATGAGGTGGGGCCTGTCTTCACAAAGAAAAGCTTTAATGGAGCAAAGGTGACTGTCAACAGACCTGCAGAGCCTCTCATTTTGCAGAATGAAACAGATCCAGAGCCCAGAATAGCTTGGGTACCAGGCTGCAAAGCAACCGAGCACTAGCAGAGAGGCTCAAATGCAGACTCTCACGAGCCCACATCTGGCTCCTGTGACCAAAGCAGAGCCCGAGACGGCTCTCAGATTCCCAGGTTTGCACGCAGGGCCACTGAAGTTTCCCTTCAGGTCACTGTGCATAAACCTTAGTCTAGAATTCTTCATACCCAGGCTGGCTCTCCCTGGGCCTGTGGAGGCTGTGCACACATGTGTCCAGGACTCACCACAAAACTCCACGGAAGTCCCCAATGCTTGGTTTTATTTCCCAGGTTTCAGTTCCTCGATTTCAGTTCCTTGCAATCAACTAGAGCCCAAAACTATTCAATGGAAAATTCCAGAAGTAAACAATCCGGACTTTTTAACAACTTATATTATAGTATATGGTTATAAATGGTCTATGTTGTTACTAGTTCTTATTCATCCCTTCCTGTGCCTAATTTATGAAGTCTTTCACGGCTATGTACATCTAGGAGTGCCTGTTCATGGATGGTTTCAGGCATCCTCTGGGGTCATGGAACATACTTAAGGATAAGGGACAACTATATAAGGACAAATGGCCCATAGATTTTGCTTTTCTTGCTTGCTCTGTGGTACAGGAGAGGTTGAGATAAGAGTTAAAGTTTAGATCCTACAGATCTATCCACAGATAATTCCTTTGAGTCAGCAACCTCTTATTAGGGATGACCCTAGCAAAGTTCAAGGTAAACTAACCAGGAGGTCAGAAAGCCAGTCATCCCAAGAGGCTCCTCCCTGGGGGTCTGTGTCCTGGCTTGGGGGCTGCTTGGAGTGGAGACAGAGCCACCTGGTGTGAAGTCTATACCCTTCCCTGCCAGGCCCACACATGGACCTGCTCCCCATGCCTGGGGGTGGGGGGTCCAAGTGCTCCCAATATTGGTGATGGTCCCTGGATTTTAGGAGTGCGGTGGGGCAGGAGCCTGATACTGCATGCAGGATCACAGACCTATCCGCGGCCACAGACCCGCTCAGAAGTCGGCCTCTGCCTGCCACTGCAGAGACCTGAATGCACACTGAATGCCACCCTCTGCCATCACTTCCAACCACACTCCCCCTTCATCCCAAGAGCTCAGTAGGCTACTGTGGCCTCTAGCCTAGGAAGGTGAGGGGAAGCCCCTGCTCAGTCCAGTCCTGGCCTTGCTTGCTGACACCACGCCAACAGTGACATGCAGGACACCAAATGTCAGCACTTGTGCAATTTCAGAAAGGCAGGAGAAGGAGCCTTCTATCCAGTCTTTCCTTTCTTTATTCAGCCAAAACTGTGTGGTGGATCTCCTGCTGCCCAGACCTGAAGTCGGGGCACATGCATCACACATAGGCACTGAACTTATGTGTACACAGTTCACATCTATCCGCACACTCACATTTTATATGGAATACCTATTTTGCGGGACACAGTTTGGAGATGATAGTAATGGACTCAAGTCACAGATATGGAAACTGAGACTGTGGAAGGTGAAGTCTCATCCTCAAAGTCAGAGAGGCAGAGGCAGATGATAGGAGTCAAGAAGAGAACCCACTGGCACCCAGACCTGGGCAGAGGCAGGAGGTTCAGCACGGTGAACTCTGGTGTGTTATTTCAGTCCATTAGGGGATTTCGCAAAATCGCCCTGGTCCTGGGGCTTGGGGCAGGAAGGGGAGGTACAGGAAAGTGCAGAGAGTGACTCTGCCTAAGGCCTCCAGGCCCTTCCGCACCGAGGAACCAGGCGGCAGTTTCCACAGTAGTCAGCAGGGGGCAGTGCACCTTGCGTTTTCGAGCCCTGCGCGCTCTCCCGCAGCACCCAGGAAAGAAAACCAGGGGGCACCGCCCGCAGCTTCTAGAAACGTGCCAGGAGTGAAATGTGGCACGCAGTAGGGGCTGAAGACATGTCCAGAAGCCGAGGGGCTAGACGAAATACATGAATTTGAATTTAGTAGTAGAAATGGGGAGGAGAAGGAGAGAAGGTGTCGGGCCCCTGTCAGCTCCCCTATGTAGCGGCCTTGTCTCTGAACAGTGTATGCACCTACTGTGTGTCAGGTGCGGTGGCGGCGACTGGGCAATCTCGTTCCCTGCTCACGTCATTTTCCGGCTGGCAAGGCTCTCCCCATCTCTCCCCTTCCCCGCCCCCACTCAGCCGCAGAGCGGGGGTGGGCGCTCGCTGTCTCCCTGGGGAACCATCTCCGCACAGATCGTTGGGCGTGGGGACCCGCGAGGGCGATAAGCCGAGAAAGGCGAGAGGTCCCCGGAATCACACGTGAAAACCCCGCGAATGTCTGATGCGGCGACGCGGCAAGCTTGTCCCTGCCCTCAGGGTCAGGGCTGTCTCCCTCTGCGGGACTCGCCTGGCCAACGAGACGCAGTGGCCGGCCCTGCCCCCACACACTCTTGCGTTTCTGGGGCCCGCACGTGCCCCCCTAGTGGAGTGCCACCACGCCGGGTGCGTGGTAGGCGCCGGCTAGGACCCTCGCATTGGAGAGAGGAGAGACTCAGCTCCAGCGTACAGAGCCCAGCTGGGAGACCTGGCCACAAGGCAAGGCGAAGGTTTATCTGTGCTAAACTGGGGCGCAGCCTCAATCCCCATCTCAAGTTCGGCGGCGCTTACTCCTGCAAGGTCACTCTCAAACACTCACGCTGAAAGTTGCGCCACCGTCCCGATTCCGAACTAGCTGTACCCCCAGCAACTCGCCAAGCCCCAGAGTCACCCTTCTCCATCCCAGTGCACTCCTACAAGGGGCGGACCCTGCTTGCGCAGGTCACACACGCTAGAGACGCAGACAAGTTGCTAACTTTTGTCACATTATTTCTTAGCAGCTGAGACGCCTAACGGGGCTGGGGAGGACTCAAGAGTTTCGAATTGCCACCAACACCACCACTGCCACTGTGATCCCTCCGCCCACCGGAATCCCCCACCTCCCACCACGCCGCGTCCAGCTGACCGGTCCCTGGCGCCAACTTCTCCCCTGATCCGGGGCAGCCTAGGCTGGAGTCGTCCCGGGAGCTGATAGCCTCCACCTGAGTCTGCGCCTGCTCACAACGGATTGGGAGACTGGATCCGGATACTGTCCCATCGCCTCTGGGCCGGATCACTAGCGGCCTCTGCGCGCCCCCGAGGTATCCCAGCCGGAGACCCGGGCTTCACTCTAGAGCACAGGGTACTCGCTGCCCCTACGGGTCTCCTGACCCCTGGCGCGGGTCGGGTAGATCCAACCGGTGCCGGGCGCAATGTCACTGGGGCCGCTACAGGACCGCTGCCCCAGACGGCTGTAGGCTTACTGCTGAGCTCCGGGCGGTTCCTCCAGTAAGCTCTGGAGACCCCAGAGCCCGAGCCTCCTCCCATACCTTCCTCTCCCAAAGACCCAGGTGGTAGCTGCGGCCCGGGAAGGGGTCTCCCTACCGGTGTCTTTCTTCCAGTGCCTGGGGTCTTCATTCCCACCTCCACCGTCACACCCTGCTAGTCCCCTGCCTACCCCTTCTGTTCCTGGGTCCGGACTATCACCCCTGCACTAGGAGAACACACAGGAAACTGCCCGAACCCCAACTCGCGCGGACGCAGTCCCCCGCGCACCCCGGGCAGCATTCGGCTTCGCGCGCACACTCACCACGGCTGAAGACAGGCTAGAGTTTCCCGGCTTTGGGCATGGAGGGGTTCCGAAGAGTATGTAAGACGCGGGTGTCCGGAATACTCACCCCTGTCCAGCTCACAGAGCCGCCTCCTCCTGTCTCCCCTTCTTCTCCTTCTCTTCTTTCTCCTCCCTCCGGTCTAGGGCTCTTTGTCTTTGCAAAGTGTCGAAACTGTCTGGCATAGTGGGGCTCCTCCGGCGGAGGCTAGAGCCGGGGAAGCGGGAGGCGGGGTGAGGATGGGAGCGGTCTCGGGAACACCTTCCCCGGGGTGTAACGGGAGCGGGAGGCGGGGCGACCACCGAGGGGCCGCCTCCCGTGGCCGGCCGGGGCCGCGAGCGGGGCGCGCCTGAGCCCGGCCACCGCCTCCTCGGCGCGCGGCCCTCCCCTTCCTCCGCCCTGCGCCCGCCCTCCGCGCCCCGCGCTCCCCGGCGCCCCTCCCGCCGGACTCGGCTCGGCTTTCCCCTCTCTGGGGCTTCCTGAGAGCCGAATATAGCTCGGCCGAGCCACGTGGACTGCCGCGGGCTGGGCTGAGGCCCGGCCGGGGAGACGCTGGAGGCGGCGGCGGCGGCGGCGCGGGGACCGTATCACCGCCCAAAGAGCGGCTGTGCTGGGAAGCTTCGCGACTCCCCGGGTCCGGTCACCGCCGAAAGCGGGAGAGGCTAGGGAAGAGCGCCGCGGCGGCCCAGGGGCCCTGGGGTCAGCCCCGGGAGGAGGCGATGGGCGCACACCGAGCGGACTTGGCGGTGCCCAGAAGAGCCCGAGTCGGGTGCACGGTGGCGAGAGGGGCCGATTTCCCCTGCTGGCGACCGGGCAGCCAGCCGACTGCCTCTAAAGGCGCGGGACTCGAGGTGGGATTTAGAGAGAAGGAAGAGGGAGGAGCGCAGTGAGGGCGTGGGGGAGCCCCGGCCGGCGCATCCCGGCTTCGGAGCCGCATAGCTGGTACCGAGATCTGGCCCCCGCCCTTCTCTCCTCTTGCCGCGGATTTTCCTCCCTGATGCAGAGGCTGCCGCTCGCGGTCCATAGCCCGGGAAGGCTGGGTAGTGGGAGCCAGTGCAGGAGCCGGCACCGAGGCAGCCTGGGGCGTGTGCTTTGGGGTTTGGGGATTAGGTTTGAAGTTATGCCCTCCCTCTTACAGGGAAATGAGGCGACGGAGACTTATTTTGATGAATGGCAGAGAGCTGATCTTGGAGGCTAAATGCTGTACCCAAGATTGAAGAGGGATTTCCAAAAATCTGGTTTTTCTGCCTTATTTATTCCTCACTGGTTGGGACTCTCTCTTTTGCAACTTCTGGTGGAATGTTAAGAGGAAGAGGCAAAGTGCCTATGGGTCAGTTTATTCTTCCAGCTCCCTTTCTCCAGGAGGAGGCCAGCCTTTTGTAGTGGAAGGTGAGGGAGAACTGCCTTGCCATTCCTTCATCCACCCGAGGGCTGCCTTGTCGCATGGTTTCAGCAAACCCTGGGCTGCGCTCCATGGATGGGTGATCTTAAGCTAGTTCCTGGGTCCCTCCGCATCCTGAGCTTTGTGCCTTGTTTTCCTTTTTTGTGAAAAGGGGCCTAATAACAGTGTCCGTCTGGTGGGGCTGTGGCGATGAGGATTCACTCTCATATAGTTGATCCCTTGGAAGCGTACTTAGCACCTACTGAGCGCTCAGGTGGATTTGGCCTGGAGGCAGCGCACCTTTCTGGCAGGTGGCCTGCCCTAGGTGATGAGGTGGAGGTGTGTGGAAGACTTCAGGGGCATGGGAGAGAAGAGATATTTAAAGAAGACTGAAGTAGAAGAGAAACTGATCAAAAGGAGAGGAGGAGAGAGAGAAAATTAGCCACTACCTAGGGAAGAGATGTCAGAAAGAGAAAAAGGCCAAAACAAAACAACTAAGCATTCAAAAAGTGCATGGATCTGCTGGCCGCCTTCAAGGACCCTGTGAGCCCCATGGGCCTGCCCTGCCTGACCAGAAGTTTGACAGAAAAGGTTTGGTGCTTCATGAACTGATGTGAGCCCTTGGCCTGGCCCCATTGCTTTTGGTTTTGATGCTAGGGAGTGGGTAGGCACTTTGTCCTGTCTGGAAGTGTCTCCTGGGGGTCAGACTTTGCCCCCAGTCTGACCCCAGTTGGCACTCCCCAGCATGCTTGTGTTGGAAGGAGAGGGGGAAGCAGAGAGTTCCAGTGACACCAGCTACCATCCTTTCCAGCTGAGTGACTTCAATCTGGACCACTCAGATTCTCAGCACCCAGAGGTGTGACTCAGAGCATCATCCTTGTGACTCTGCTGGTGGTCGGCTGCTCTGCTCTCCTCACAGGGAAAGCGGAGCCTGGCAGATCTGCATGGTTCTCTCTGCTGGCTGTGCGACTCTTGATTTTACAGCTTGCTGTGCATAGGGAACACGCTGTGTTTTGCCCCCTGCTGACTGCAGTCCCTGTCTCTGCTGATCATGTGGTAGATACTCAGTAAAGAGTTACAGGATGAATTAATAAAAGAAGTGTTGTTTATTGTGAGGATCAAATAAAATAGTGCATGGGGAAGCACTTTGAAAAATGAGAAAATGCTGTTCTGATATGAGACTATATTACTCTATTCTGGTAGAGTTTATAGACAGAAGTTCAGATTAGGCAAATAACTAGCTCAGGCCATTCATTCCGTTGCTCCACTTTGCAGCCTAGAACCAAAACTAACTCAGGTTTTGCCCTGGATTCTTGGTGGGTCCCTGGATATCTCCACAGTGATGTGGAAGTTTGTTGTTAAAATGACACAGTGGTTAAACACGTGCACTATCACCTTATCTGTATGAAAGGCTGCACACCAGCAGCCTCTGTGTCCACTCTGGTGGGTTAGCCCAGGCATGGCCTTTCTCTCCACCCACCCTGCTTCCTTTCTGTTAGAACACTTTTCTTCCCAGGTAGCAGGACTCTCTCCTGGTCTTTTTGTGTGTGTGTGTGAGTTGTGAAATTCCATGCAAGCAGCTCTTTTGATGCCCTGGATGATTTCCAGGAGCTAGGGAAACAGGGCTGTGTGCCAGAGGCCTGTGCATGCATTCCTCCTTGTCACCCCCAGTGGATCTCCCCACAGGCGCTGCCAGAAAACAACTGGTAGGAGTCCCTGGGGGGAGCGCCTGCACAGTGGGTCTCCTGGGAGCCTTGACATTGATGTAGTGCTCACTGCTACCTCCCACTTGTTCAGAGGAGCAGCAGCACAGCTCTCAGTAACAGTGGTTAAAGAAATTGATTGCTTCCTTTCCCTACCCCCTTCCTTGGCACATCAGAGTGGAAAGATCCTAATGGGTTCTGAGCCCATTGGGGTGATTGTGCAGAAAAGGAAAGGGCCACCTAGCTTGTGAGAGATGAGCTCAAGGTGCCAGGCACATGGAGTTCTGTGTTTTGAACCAGGCTGTACTTAGGTCCTGGGACTATACAGACCTCTATGTTTCCTTAGCAAAAAGAAGTTGATCCTATGCCCACAGAAGAAGCTGGGAGGAGAAACTGCCCGTCTACATGCCTGTGTGTGCGTGCACGCGTGTGTATGTGTGTGTGTGCGCGTGTGCACGCACATGTGTGCAGGCCCCTCCTCTCTTCTCCCTACCCCCAGGCTTCCTCTGTTGAATCCAGGATCTCCCCTACAATTTTCTGCATGTTGGTGACCCCAGGTCATGGCAATTGTAGAAACAGTCTTAACTTCATTTTCCTCTCTTGATCCACTTCACATTTTAGTTTTCCCAGGAGAGGAATCTGATTGACAAGCCTCACCCCCAGGGTCATAGGTCACCCACCCAACCTGACCTGAATAGGCTGCCCAGGCAGCATGTGTCCACCCCTCTGGTGAAGTAAGAGAGCCCTGCAGAAGATGTAGCACTGTGGGGAATGCAGGACACATGGCGCCTAAGCCCCCTCCAGCCTCTAGCACTGAGAATCCAGGGGGGGCATAGGGTTAGCAGAACTATTCAGCAGAACCGTAAACTTGACACCGTTCACACAGGTTAGACCCAAGTTCCCACTAAACCAGCTGATAAGTTTCAGTCATGATCACCGTTATCTCTTTGTCCGAAATGGGCTCAGGAATGAGACTGAATCCATATTTGGACCACCAAGATATGGAGACAAATATGCCTGAGTCTTTCAGGAAAAATGTTTAGAGTAAGTCCTGGTCAGGGGGTGGGGGGGTGTAGCTTATGGTGGAGCACCTGCTTAGCATGATCAAGGTCCTGGGTTCAAACCTCAGCACCACCAGAAGATAACAAAACAACAACAAAAAAAAAATACTAAGCCCTAGAAAGCTCATTTCCAATTTGACATGAGCAATAAAATGTTTGTGACATAATTTCTCCGAGTGATGTCTTGTGTGCCTGGAGGAAGTCAAGTTGAAGACAGGTTGCTGTGGTTTGGTGATTTAATCGTGTCCCCCAAGGATCCATATATTAAAGGTTTAGCCATGAGGTAGAAGTACTGAGAGGTACTGTGGACTTCAAGAGGTGGGGCTTTGTGCAAAGTCCTCAGGTCATTGGGGGTGTGTCCTTGAACTGGGTTCTGACCTGTGTGTGCTCTGGTTGGAGATGTGACTGCTCCTGTGTAGGCCCTGACATGATGCATTGCCATCTGCCACCTTCCCCAGACTAAGCCAGTGGAGCTGCCTGATTGTGGAGCTAAATGAACCTTTTCACTTTGTAAGCAGCCCGTGTCGGGATTCTGTTGTAGTAGCACAAAGCTGACTGATACCAAAGTAGATCCAAAAACCTGGCCACACCACACCTGAGCCTCCCTCCAGACTCCCTGTCATATAAGTCAATGAAAGACCTGGTTTTAAACCATTTTGGGTCGTGGTCCTGCTACCTGCCGCCACTCATTTATTTTCCTGAAGACGCCCTTCTTTCCGTCAGGTCACTCCCAAGCTCAAAACCCTTAAAACTGCAGTGGCTCCCCATGGCCTAGCCAAGAGAATCTGACTTTCCTGAGGTCGGCAGTTCAGATCCTTCTTGAAGTGGCCCCAGAGTGTTTCTCACTTGTTTTCTTCTAATACTTTTTACAAACCCTGTATTGACAGGCCTGACTCAGCCCCAAAGCACTGGTTAAATTCCGTGTTGTATATTCCTGAAAACATAGATCTCCATCTCGCTGGGGTGCTGAAGATTTCCTTATCATCCATGATGGGGTCTCCCCAGCCCCCAAGGCACACAGAAGTCCCGAGGCCTAGTGCAGGGCCCAGCTTGATGGCATCTGCTTCTTATTGTCCTCTCTACTCCTACAGGGATGCCCACTGCCTTGGGCGGCAGACGTATAGGGCCGTGGCTCCTGAGCGTCCTCACCATAGGGTCCAGCCTTCCTAGCTGGAGGGGTCTCCTGAGCTGCTGTGACCACTTA